TGTGCTAAGAAATTTACTTGCATTTTTCTTATTTAATCCTCACAGCTACACCTTGTGTTGGATTTTATAATTATCCACATACAGGTGTATCTTGTTTTATTGTGTTTCACTTTATTGTGCTTCACATTTATTGAGTTTTTTTTACGAATTGAAGATTTGTGGCAACCTCGTGTCAAGCTAGTCTATTGGCACCACTTTTCCAACAGCATTTCCTCACTGCATATGTCTGTGTCATATCTTGGTAATTCTTGCAATATTTTAAACGTTTTCATTATTATTATATCTGTTATGATGATATGTCATCAGTGATCTTTAATGTTACTATTATAATTGTTTTGGGACACCACAAACAGCATCCATATAAGATGACAAACTTAATGGATAAATGTTGTGTGTGTTCTGACTGCTTCACCAACTGGCCCCTCCCTCCTCTCTTTCCCTCTCTTTGGGCCTCCCTATTCCCTGAGATACAAAAATATTGAATAAGCCTATTAATAACCATACAAAGGCCTCTAAGTTTTCAAGTGAAGGGAAGAGACATGCCTCTCACTTTAAATCAAAACGTGGAAATGCTTTAGCTTAGTGAGGAAGGCATGTCAAAAGCTAAGATGGGCCAAAAACTAGGCCCCTTGAGCCAAACAGTCACATTGTGAATGGAAAGAAAAAGTTCTTCAAGGAAATTAAAAGTGCTACTCTGGTGAACACACAAATGATAAAAAATAAAAGCAGGCTTTTTTCTGATACAGAGCAAGTTTTAGTGGTCTGGATAGAAGATCAAACCAGCCACAGCATTCCCTTAAGCTAAAGCCTAATTCAGAGCAAGGCCCTAACTCTCTTCAATTCTATGAAGGCTTTGAGAGGTGAGGAAGCTACAGAAGAAAAGTTTGAAGCTAGCAGAGGTTGGTTCATGAGGTTTAAGGAAAGAACCCATCTCCAAAGCATCAAAGTGGAAGAAGAAGCAGCAAACGCTGGTGTAGAAGCTGCAGCAAACTTTCCAGAAGATCTAGCTAAGATAATCAACAAAGGTAGCTACACTAACTAAACAACAGATTTTCAATGTAGACATAGTTGTCTTATATTGAAAGAAGATGCCCTCTATGACTTTCATAGCTGAAGAGGAGAAGTTAATGCCTGGCTTCAAAGATTCAAAAGACAGACTGACTCTCTTGTTAGGGGATAATGCAGCTGGTGACTTTACGTTGAAGCCAATGTTCATTTACTATTCAGAAGACAAAGATCCCTTTCAAAATATTAGTGCTCATTGGACAGGAATAAAGACGCAGACATAGAGAATGGACGTGAGGACACAGAGAGGGGGAAGGGTAAGCTGGGACAAAGTGAGAGAGTGGCATGGACTTATATATACAACCAAATGTAAAATAGATAGCTAGTGGGAAGCAGCCGCATAGCACAAGGAGATCAGCTCAGTGCTTTGTTATCACCAGGAGGGGTGGGATAGGGAGGGTGGGAGGGAGACACAAGAGGGAGGAAATATGGGGATATATGTATATGTATAGCTGATTCACTTTGTTATAAGGCAGAAACTAACACACCATTGTAAAGCAATTATACTCCAATAAAGATGTTAAAAAAAATACTACTGCTCATCGACAATGCACCTAGTCACCCAGAGCGCTGATGGAGATGTACAATAAGATTAATGCTGCTTTCATGCCAGCGAACACAACATTTATTCTGCAGCCAATAGATCAAAGAATAATGTTGACACTCAAGTCTTATTATTTAAGAAATACATTTCATAAGGCTATAGCTGCCATAGATAGTGATTCCTCTGATATCTGAGCAAAGCAAATTGAAAACCTCCTGGAAAGGATTCACCATTCTATATGAAAATTAAGTACATTCATAATTCATGGAAAGAGGTCAAAACATCAACGTTAACAGAAGTTTGGAAGAAGTTTATTCCAATTCTCATGGATGATTTTGAGTAGTTCAAGACTTCAGTGGAGGAAGTAACTGCAGATGTGGTGGAAATAGCAAGAGAACTAGAATTAGAAGTGGAGCCTGAAGATGTGACTGAATTGGTAGGTACACTCTCATAATAAAACTTAAATGAATGAGGAGTTGCTTCTTATGGATAAGCAAAGAAAGCTGTTTCTGGTGATGGTATCTACTCCTGGTGAAAATGCTGTGAAGATTGTTGAAATGACAACAAGGGATTTAGAATATTACATAAACTTAATTGATAAAGGAGCAGCAGGTTTAAGAGGATTAACTCCAATTTTGAAAGAAGTTCTCCTGTGGGTAAAATGCTATCAAATAGCATTGCATGCTACAGAGAAACCTTTTGTGAAAAGAGTTAATGGATGCAGCGACTTCACTGTTGTCTTATTTTAAGAAATTGCCACACCATCCCAACCTTCACCAGCCACCACCCTGATCAGTCAGCAGCCATCAACATTGAGGCAAGATACTCCACCAGCAAAAAGATTGTGACTTGTAGAAGATCAGATAATGGTTAATACTTTTTAACAATAAAGTATTTTTAATTAAGGTATGTTATATACCTCGTATTTTTAAACATAATGCTATTACACACACATTATACTATAGTATAATGTAAACATAATGTTTACATGCATTGAGAAACCAAAAAATTTGTGTGACTTCCTATATTGAAATATTCACTTTATTGCGGTGGTCTGAAACTGAACCCACAATATCTCCGAGGTATGACTATGTTGCATTTGATGGTGTTCTCCTTATCATTTTCAGACTTATAGACACATATTTATAGGATCAGTAATCTGGGTGTTTTGAAGGGATAAATAAAGCTGCCCTAGGAGATTTTAAGTCACCAGAACTGCAGTCTTCAGAGGCTTGTATAAGACCACTTGTTTCATTTTGGAGGATTTCTTTGGATTGGAGCAGGGCAGTTGAAACCACTTATTTATTCATATAACAAATACTTATTGAGTACCTATTCTGAGTAAGGCACTTGAGATAAAAGTCCTTTAAAAGTCCTTTCTTGAATGGGTTTGTAGTCTAGTGGGCAGACATACAAAGTAAACATTACATCTTAGTGTAGTGAGGCTCATTGAATCCATAATGCTAGGGAGTGATTTAAACATCAGAATCATAGTTCTAGAGTAGGAAGGATACCGGAAATTCTTTGTCTCTTCAGATTGCTTTGTAGGGCTGTGAGCAAGAATTCCATTAAAGTATATAACCAAAGAGCTTGAGTTAACTGTCCTGAGTTTGCATGCCTGGTTGGTGGTCTTCTCCCACCTGTCAATTGCTCTTCTAAGCAAAAATAACTTGGCACATCTTGGTCTGGGGAATTACGTGGGGAGCATTATTTGTGGAACATAATGACATGACATTTACACATACTTTCTGACTTTCACTGTGTAGGTAGTATATATGTGTGAATATGTACACACCACTATGTAATTCTAAAGAGTTTAGAAATACCTTTTAGTATATGTAGTTTTCTTGCTTACTTCAAATTGTCTCCTTGGAATTACTTTCTTATAATATAGTACTGGAGAGTTATCTCATCTCAAAAGCCTTTGGCCTGGGAAATGTGGGGAATTGAAGGATCCACACATATTCTGCCCAATCAGCTATTAAATGGTATGAGGACTAGGTTTTTCTTTCCATGCCTTGGAAGGTAATGTAATGTGGAGGCAGCCCGAATTGCTGCCTTGCACCTCTCTTCCCTGCTTTCCTACATTTCCAGAAGAATTAATGGTCTTTTTTACCCATGATGATATGAGCCTTTCTCTTCTCACTAGTATAGAGTGGAGGAGTGAGAATGAGGAGCCTAGACTTCCCTGGTTTATATTGCCATCTTTTAAGTAGGATACAGGAATAAAAGACATACAGACATTTTCATTTAATTTTGATAAGAGCCCTGTGACTTAAAGTAGGTGAAATTATGGATACTTTCTTTTCTATCGTTCATATTTTCCACATGAGCATGCAGTACTTTTATAATCAGAAAGACTGCAAATATATACCACAAAAACCTTTTAATTTTTTCTCTCTACAAAATTGGAGCCACAATTTTGTTTCAATATCCTGCTTTCTCACACATTGTTATTAGCTCATATGTAGCTCTCCATGTCATTAAATATTCTTTTAAAAAATGTTTTATACTAGCTCAATAAATCCATATATGAGAGTAAACTAATTTTGTTTATCGTCATAGATATTTTAGGATAAATAACGGAAGATCTATACAAAGGAACATTATGGAGCCATTAAAAAACATATTTTCAGAGTATTTAATAATTTTGGAATATACTAATGATATGAATTTAAAAAGAAGTTATAAAGATGTGAAACCTGCTACCAATTTTGTAAACTGCAAGCATAGATTTATTGAGATATCAGAACTGTTAACATTTTGCTGTACATCTAGATGTTAAGATTAAGGTTAGTTTCGGTTTTTATTTCACTGAATTTCAGAAAATCTCCACAGTGTCAGTACACTTACTTTACATTCAGAAAAATATATGTATTAAAAAAGCATTACCGTGAGTGACCAGATAGAAAATAAAAAGGAAAGTTTGGATCAAGATGGTGGACCGTACACGGCATTTACTTATCCGGTCTCATAAACCTTAAAGTGAAAAAAAATTTTTTTGTATGTACAAACTCTGTGTATGTATGTGTTGAATATTAAAAAAAAATGTTTTGTGAGGAATTCCTGGAAGATAGAAAGCAGTTGGAGAAGCTGTTGAGGAGGCTGGTGGACGACAGACGGCCACAGAGGAGTAAGGGAGCCGGCCAGTCTGGCTTGGGTTTGAGAGAAGCGGTCGGGGGGCGCGTGAGGAAATGAAGTGAGCGCCTGTGACTGTGTGGACAGAACGCACTGTGCACAGTAACCCGCCCAGTTGCTGCTGGCTGAGCGGAAGGCGGAATGGCGGGGGCGGGGCCGAGGCTCAGGCGGGCTCTGAGGGGTCGGGTTCCCGAAGCGGCAAAAATCCTGGCGCCAGAGCTAGGCCGAGCAGAGCAACATTGCTAAACCGAGACCCCGCGGACTTCTCAGAGACCCGCCGCCGCCCGCGACTTTGGCACTGCAGCCATCGCTCTTATCCCTTTCCCGTCCTCTCCTTCTCCGTCGCCGTTCCACAGCCGCAGCACCATCGATAACAGCTAAGTGGTCAATTCGGGAGACTTAGGGTTGGGAGTCGGGGCGGGCGCAAGGCGCGGGCAGCACACGCAAGCCCGCCATCTCCTGCGGCAACTGCCACTGCTGCAGATACCTCTGCCGGGCGGGAGAGAATACTGTCAAGAGGCCCCCGCTGTCCTAGTGCCCACGGTCAGAGTTAGAGCGTTTCTGCCGAGCCTTGGTGAGAGCCTTGCCTTTGGGGAAGGGAGAAGGAGAACGGACAGGACAGGATCTTTCTGTTTTCGGAGATCACGAGAAAAGATCTCATACTGGATAGTGCTGACTTTTTGTCAACTTAATCTAGTAAGTGGTAGCGTTGCTGAGCCTCCTTAAACCCCGAGCCATGTCGCCCCCAACAGTGCCTCCGATGGGCGTAGATGGTGTGTCCGCATACCTGATGAAGAAAAGGCACACCCACAGGAAACAGCGGCGCAAGCCCACTTTCCTCACCCGTAGGAACATTGTGGGCTGTCGCATTCAACACGGCTGGAAGGAAGGCAACGAGCCTGTGGAGCAGTGGAAGGGCACCGTGCTTGAGCAGGTTTCCGTGAAGCCCACTCTCTATATCATCAAATATGATGGCAAAGATAGTGTGTATGGACTAGAACTGCACCGAGATAAGAGAGTTTTAGCGCTAGAGATCCTTCCTGAGAGAGTGCCAACTCCTCGCATTGATTCGCGCCTGGCAGATTCCCTGATTGGCAAGGCAGTGGGTCATGTGTTTGAGGGTGAGCACGGTACGAAAGATGAATGGAAGGGCATGGTCCTGGCGCGAGCCCCCGTGATGGACACTTGGTTTTACATCACCTACGAGAAAGATCCAGTCCTTTATATGTACACGCTGCTGGATGACTACAAAGCTGGTGACCTGCGCATCATTCCAGATTCCAACTACTATTTCCCTACAGCAGAACGGGAGCCTGGAGAAGTTGTCGACAGCCTTGTGGGCAAGCAGGTGGAGCACGCCAAAGATGATGGGTCCAAGAGAACCGGCATTTTCATCCATCAAGTGGTGGCCAAGCCATCTGTCTACTTCATTAAGTTTGATGATGATATTCACATTTATGTCTATGGTTTGGTGAAAACCCCCTAAATTCATTGTGCTGTTGCAAAAGTTGTGGAACTGTTAAATGTAAAATATGTCGTGTGAAATTTTGAGAACATTTTTGAAGTCAGAGATTAAAGAATTTATTATTACTTATGGTGCCTCCAAATCTTACATTGACTAGTTCCACAGTTTTGTCCGAAGTATAGTTTGGTACTTTTGATATTGCCTTGTTCTGTAATCAAAATTTTAAATCGGGTGCTAATAGAAACTTGAAAAGTTTTTGTAAAATTTGGAACAATGGAAAACTAGATAAAGAAAAATAAATGGTGTACACACACTATATCCTCCACCCCCCCTCCATTTCTTTCTTTGCCTTACCAATTTTTTTCTCCCCAGGTAACAAGTGTTAAGAACATAATGTATATCCTTCCATGTTTTCCCAATCCTCTTAAAGAAAGTTTGTTGTAGTCCTTTCTACAGAAACAGCAAGCCCCAGTATTTCTCTGTAATTGCATTTCTCCCTTGACATATCCTTCTGATCAGTAGCTACAGATATCTCTCTCTCTCCCCCATGCCTCCCTCTCCATATGGTATAAGATAGATGTCCAACTATACATTTTATTCACATTGGATATCTGATTGTACCATCACATTTATTAAATAAATCACCAATTCCCCCTCTCCCTCTATTTCTCCTTGTCTTCCTCCCTTCTCCTAACAGCTGCATACACAGTACATATTTATGTACCAAAATGGTACCATTTATGTACCATTCTATTATTGATGGCCTTTAAGTTTTCCCTTTTTTTTTCCACCATAGCACAGCTACAATACATACTGGTGCCTTTATTTCTATAGGGTAGCTTCCCAGAAATGGGACTGCTAGGTAGGTGTTTATTTAATTTTAAGAGATATTACAAAATTACCATCTAAAATGAAAGTGCTCATTTTCCAGCATCCTCTCCAGCATTCTTGAATGTTTGCAAATCTGAACAGTGAAAAATTACATAGTATTGTTTGTTTAATTGAAAAACTCAGTGAGGTGTTTTTTTTAACCATTTGCACTTTTTTTGTGATTTGCCAGTGCTTATCCTTTGCTCATTTGTCTATTGAATCTTTGATCTTTTCCTTATAAATCTGTAGGAATTCTAACTATATTTACTATGTGGTGTGTATTAATCAGTTGTAGCCCATATGTGTTATGATTTTCTCCATTCTATCATTAATCTTGACTTTGCTGATATCTTCTTTTTTTACTTTACAGGTTTAAAAAAAAAGATTCCTTTCTTCTTTTTAGCTTTTTGGTTTCTTGTTTTTTTCAGCTGAATGTCCCCACCACTAGTCATACAAATATTTACCTACATTTTTTTCTAAAAAATTTATTAATTTTAAGCTTTAACTGTTTGATCCATCAGGAATTTATTTTTCTATATGGAGGTAGAGGTCCAAATATACATTTTGTTCATATTGGATACCTGATTATGCTATCACATTTATTAAATAAATGACCCATTTTCAAGTTCCTGAGCCAGTATCACATTGTTTTAATTGTACTGGCTTGACCATAAACTTTGGACTCTGGTAAAGAAAGTCCCCTATCATTAGTTTTTTTGTTTTTGTCTTTTGTCTTTCTTCTATTATGTAATTTGTGTTTCATTCTTTCATGTAAAAATTGGAAGCATCCTTTCCATATTTAAAAAAATTGTGATGCCTTAGAATTGTATTACATTTCTGCATTTCTGTTTAGGGAGGTATTTTAATAATAATATTAATCTTTAATACTCGAGAATTTTGGTACATCATTAAAATCTTTTGTTTTTGTAATGTTATATAGGTCCATCACATCTGATTAAATTTATCTCTCTATATTTTTACAGTTTTTGTCACATTTTGACATTTTGAATTGAGTATTTTTTCCTCCTCATTTATATTTTTGGCAATATAGACAAACTAGAGATTTTTTATTCCTTCTATTTTCAGCTTACTAAATACTCTGAATTACACTGGGTTTTAAAAATAGAATGTTTTGGACTTTGTAGATATATAGTCATCTCACCTGCAAATAGAGATCATTTTATTTCTTGTAATGTTAATATTGTTATTACATGATCTGGATTCTCCAAAACAATGTTGAATAATGATTATGACAGACATGCCTGTCTGGTTCTTAATTTTCGTGGAATTGTCTTTAGTGTTCTCTATTAATATGACATTTGCTGTTGGTTATTGGTAAATAGTCATTAACCATTAACATGTTTAGGGTATTTCTTCTATTCCTGTTTTACATAGCATTATTACTAAAAGTGGCTCCTGAATTTTATCAAATGTCTTTTCAGCGTCTATTGACAAAATAGTATAACATTTTTTTTTCCTTTAGTTTGTTGACACGGTGAATTAGAGTGGTAGATATTTGATGTTTTGAAACAAATTTGATTTTCTGGAATAAATCCTACTTGATCATGGTGTAATAAGCATTTGATACATTGCTGGGTATTATTTACCAGTATTTTATTTAGTATCATTGCATTTACATTCCAAAGTGAAATTGTTTTTTTCAAGTTTTGTTGTTAAAATTATGCTAGCTTTAAAAAATGAAATTGTATGTTTTCAATCATTTTTCTGTGTCCTGGAACAGTTTAATTAGCATTAGAATTATTTGTTCTTTAAAAATTAGCTAGTAGTGAGCTGTAAAAACAGCCTAATCCTGGTGACAATTTTTATGGTAGATCTTTAATCAGCTTTCTTATCTCTTCAAGGGTAATTGGTTTATTCAAGCTTTCTATTAAAAAGGAATGTATATTCTCTGTGAAATAGAAAATTTAAAGCTTTTTCTATTAACAAGCTTCTTGATTGTAGTATTCAGATGCTTTATGTCCTTCCGTGTTGCACGTACGTATGTCTTAGGTATGTTCAATTCTGAAAACATTGTAATAAAATCATCATCTATAACAGTTCTAAGTTCTCTTTGTATTTTATTTATTTTGAAAAATTAAAACATAATATGGAAAGCATGAAAGATATAAAACACGTCCGTTTTTACCTTCACCCAAAATTAACAAATGTTAACATTTTGGCATATTTGCAAAATATAACATCTCCATTCACTGCAGAAGCACACACTATCATGAATTTAATGCGAATCTTGTCTATGCTTTATATATTTACTGAAAATATAAACATAGTTGAAAATAGCATTGATTTTGTGGTTTTAAAAAAATTTCAACATGAAATTTTTTTATTAACTTTATAGCGTGACATTTCTTTTAGTTTTTATTGTACAGAATCTTCTTTTTTTTTAAATTGGGATAAGGATTGCAACAACAACAAAAAAAACAATAACACTGACTTTAGAATGCAAGTTGCTGTTCTAGGTACTTTTGCCACTCCTAACACTCAGGGAGGCTTCACCTTAACCACAGTATTGGCAACTGAATGAAAAAGACAAAATTTCAGCTGTCAAGAAGGTTTTATCCTGGCTGTAGTGAGACATTTATCTACCACCAACCCCTCACCACAAGACTAGAAATAGACCTTATGTTTTCCCATAATTTTGGAGTTATCCCTCTTTATGACACTCGGATTAGGGCTAGCGCCACACCTGGCACTTCTTTTATTTATTTTTTTAACATCTTTACTGGAGTATAATCGCTTTACAATATTGGGTTAGTTGCTGCTGTATAACAAAGTGAATCACTTATACGTATACATGGAACCCCATATCACCTCCCTCTTGCATCTCACTCCCATCCTCCATATAACACCCCTCTAGGTGATCACAAAGCACGGAGCTGATTTCCCTGTGCTATGCAGCTGCTTCCCACTAGCCAGCTATTTTACATTTAGTAGTGTATATATATATCCAAGCCATTCTCTCACTTCGTAACAGCTTACCTTTCCCCCTCCACATGCCCTCAAGTCCATTCTCTACGTCTTCGTCTTTATTCTAGTCCTGTCCCTAGATTCTTCAGAAACTTTTATTTTTTTTAGACTCCATGTATATGTGTTAACATACAGTGTTTGTTTTTCTCTTTCTGACTTACTTCACTCTGTATGACGGACTCTAAGTCCATCCACGTTACTACAAAAAACTCAATTTCATTTCTTTTTATGTCTGAGTAATATTCCATTGTATATATGTGCTACATTTTCTTTATCCATTCACCTGTCGATGGGCACTTAGGTTGTTCCATGTCCTGGCTACTGTAAATAGAGCTGCAATGAACATTGTAGTACATGACTCTTTAGGAATTGTGGCTTTCTCAGGTTATATGCCCAGTAGTGAGATTGCTGGGTCTTATGGTAGTTCTCTTTTTAGTTTTCTAAGGAACCTCCATACAGTTCCCCATAGTGACTGTATCAATTTACATTCCCACCAACAGTGCAAGAGGGTACCCTTTCTCCACACCCTCTCCAGCATTTATTGTTTCTACATATTTTGATGATGGCCATTCTGAATGGTGTGAGATAATACGTCATTGTAGTTTTGATTTGTATTTCTCTAATGATTAGTGATGTTGAGCATCCTTTCATGTGTATGTTGGCAATATGTATATCTTCTTTGGAGAAATGTCTATTTAGGTCTTCTGCCCATTTTTGGATTGGATTGTTTATTTTTTTCATATGGAGCTGCATGAGCTGCTTGTAAAGTTTGGAGATTAATCTTTTGTCAGTTGCTTCATTTGCAACTATTTTCTCCCATTCTGAGGGTTGTCTTTTTGTCTTATCTCTGGTTTCCTTTGTTGTGCAAAAGCTTTTAAGTTTCATTAGGTCTCATTTCTTTATTTTTCTTTTTATTTCCATTTTTCTAGGAGATGGGTCAAAAAGGATCTTCCTGTGATTTATGTCATAGTGTGTTCTGCCTATCTTTTCGTCTAAGAGTTTTATACTGTCTATCCTTACATTTTGGTATTTAATCCATCTTGAGTTTATTTTTGTGTATGGTGTTAGGCAGTGTTCTAAGTTCATTCTTTTACATGTAGCTGTCCAGTTTTCCCAGCACCAATTTTCAAAGAGGCTTTCTTTCCTCCATGGTATATTCTTGCATCTTTTATCAAAAATAAGGCGACCAGGGCTTCCCTGGTAGTGCAGTGGTTGAGAGTCCGCCTGCCGATGCAGGGGACACGGGTTCGTGCCCCAGTCTGGGAGGATCCCACGTGCCGCGGAGTGGCTGGGCCTATGAGC